TTAGAGTGTTTTTTGTCAAAGTCAACAAGCATTGATTTTAATGGTATTGAAATAATTGATTATTGTACTTTATAACTTGGTTGATAATTTCATTGAATGTTTGAAGATGAAATAATAATAATAATAATAATAATAGATCTTTTACATCATTCTTTAATTTCCAATAGAATTGGCTTATAAAAACTTATTTATCTCAATTAATATCATAAGTCGATTGCCTAAAATCAGATGTATAAATTGATGCAGAATGTAATTATTGGCATGATGAACAAATCTTTGTTGTTGTTCATTGAGCCTTATTATGTTCTCTCAATGTCTCTGTAAATACTTTTAAAAAAGCTTCAAAGTTGCTCAAGATTGGATATCTCTTTTCAAATAAAGAAGAAAACTAAGATAAAGCTTGTTTTGTTAACAAGGTTTCAACTAAACCAACTTGCAATTCTTTTGTTGAATAACACTTAGATTGTAGAAAAGTTACCAATCAATTTTGGTTAAAAAACTCTTGTAACTTCAAACGTATGCTATCAAAATTTTCTAAAAGATTAATTTGATGCTCATTACATTATTGAATAGGTAAATTTTCTTATTGAGGTTTAGGTGCCACTTCCTCCTTAGATGTAAAAGCTTAAGAAGGTGGTTGTATTACAAGGTGATGTATTCAAAGTCTTGCATCACTATAAAATCTCACAAAAAATCTCTCAATTCAGCACAAGCTAAAGTATTCAATGTGTTCATAATAATGTCAAACTTAGACTCAAGAGATTCAACTATGTTAATTTCTTCACCTACAATTATTTTGAAAAAAAAAAAAAAAAAAAAAAAAAAAAAGAATTTTTAAACAATATTAGTTTAGAAGAAGATATTTTATAACCTTTAAAGTGCTTAGATGCTTTTAAGAAGAAGAGTAATCTACTCTCTATCAAGAAGGATCAAGCTCTAGTATTGATAAGAAGGCAGTCTCAACAAACTATCATAGTTATATTATATAAGAGACCAAATAAGAAGTTAAACGGAAGAGTTTTAATAAGAAAACTAAGAAGAAATTGATTTAATCAGATGAATAGACTATCAATACAAAAAAAAGTGAATTAGAATTGTTGAAATTGAGAATTTCTTTAACCTTGACTCCTATATATATTAGGTAATAAGAAGCTTCTCAAATTTTTTTCATATTACTTGAAGATGAAGTAATTTTAAGATGCTTCTTAGACAACTTCTTTAATCTTCTTAGAACTTTCTAGAATTTATAAGAATATTCTAAAAATCTTCTAGAACCTTCTAAAAATATTTTAAAAATATTTTAGAACCTTCTAAAATATAACAGAATATATTTGAATATTCTTAGAATTTTATGGTTGAATGTCAATAACAAAAGGTTGTTTTACATTATTGGCTTTTAGATCCTTAATAACATTATTAACATATTATATTGAAGAAGTAACATCTTGGTGTTCATTCATTTGTAGATGCTTTCAATAATTGAATACAATCATGGTGTCAATTATAATATTAGTGCAGAATGCATTCTTGAGGTGATTCCAAGCAATTTTAGAATCTTGATATAAAAATAATGTAGCATAGATTTGAGACAAGAAAGAGTTAAAAGAAGACCTTTATAAATCTTTATTACTTGTGGTTGACATCAAAGGCTTCTAATGTCGTAGTGATGTCTTTTTCTCCTACTTTCTTGTCCTTCTTGTCATTGTCCATAGAAGAATTGTCTTTAGGTTTGATGAGATCTTATAGATCTTTTTTTAAAAAATACTATGTATTGTATAAAAAATAATATTTGTAGATGCTATTTTATTATTAAAAAAATACTATGATGGATAAAGAAAAAAATAAGTTGGTATTAATATTAGAAACAATAAAATAAATAGAATAATAAATAAAAATTTTGATAACAAAAAAAATATCAATGCTTCAAAAGCATACTATGCAAAATAAGCTTAGTCTAATACCATGAAAAAAATAAGCACAAGATAAAAAAAACATAAGAAATCAAAAGTTTTATTCAAAGAATCCAAGCAATAATATATATTTAACTTATTATTGCTATTAAATCATAGAGTATAAATACACAGATTGAGATCCTATTGTTTCAGATCTTAACAACAATAATATGGTGTAGATTTAATTATAGTCTTCATCCATGGATGAATGATAAGAGATGATAGAGTTATAATCATTATTCCAACAAGTGGTACACAAACATAATGAAACTAGCAACAACATTCTATTGTATAGGATTGATCCTCATAGATGTCTTGATAATAATCAAGACAATAAAATTGCTTTGCGAATGTTTTTTTTGTACACGTGAAGACCATCAAGGTTAACATAATCAAAATATAAATAAAAAAGTAGTGTTATATAGTTTAATTAATAAAAATAAATAAGTTAGAACTAACACAGTTTTATATTGTTTTTATTTCTTATAAATAACATTAGAATGCTTACATATAATAATTACTCTCTAAAAAAAGATCATTTTAATAATAATTATTACTTAAATTAATAAATATCAATTATCTTGCTACTTTTGATAAGTTTTAGAATATTTAAAGATTATCTTTTATTTCTTTAGTAATTTTTTAATAAAATAATAAATTACTAAATAATATATGGATAAAAGATAGAAAATATTTTTTTGATTAAAAAATATCATACAAATTGTGTAAGACGATATTTCAATAGAACAAGTAGAGTTTTTTCTACAATAAAATTAGATTATAAAAGCAATTATTTAAATATAAAATAATAAAAAATAGATCTTTTATAAATCTCACTAGTAATAATAATAGATCTCGTTAAATATTTTATAAGAGGTACTATTGTAGCAATTTTGGTTGATGTATTAAAAATAAAATATCTTCCATTTGTTTCTTATTATTTTTTTGAGTCTATAAGCAATCAAAGAATATTTTTAATGAAAACTAGGAAATAATGTAGTTGATGGATACAAAATTATTAAAATGATTCTATATTCCAAATTATTTATAGTTTTTATAAATATATTTAATAAAAAATTATCTTGATCCATACTTACTCTAAATAAGATTGTATTTTATATTAAATCCAATAAATAACAAATTATCTCCTCACCAATCTTAATTTCAATAAGTTTTTAAAACCAAATATAAACATGAAAATACTACAGTAGTACCATTTTTAAATATAAGTAATTAGTTGTGGTTTTAAACTATATCCTTATTGAAATAACAACATTGTTGACATTTAGGCTATGCAAATTAAATTAAATTGTATATTCAAATTGATTTAAGTGAGATTAGAATTTTTTTTAAAAAAATTCAAGTAAATTATTTTAATACTAATTTAAAGATAAATTAAAGAATTAGATATTATCACAAAAAATATAGGATTTATACAATAAAGTTAAGATTTTTTTTAAAATATTCATAAATATACACTAAAAAATCTTAATGTATTATTATTAAAGTTTTTTTTAAAATAGATATCTAATTCTTTGCATTTGGCATCACATTGATTAGCCAATATGGAAATCATATGCAAAAATTTGTCCAATGATTTAAATAATTTTATTTATATCATTCTCTACCAAGTATTTTCAAATCAATTCCATTCAATTACAATCTTGTGGTAAATTTAAAAGAAATGTATTAGCATCCTAATTTCTAAAAAATCAATAAAAAAAAAAACCCTCGTCTTTTAGAATTATTAGAACACCTCATTGAATGATTAATAAACAAATTTCTTTGTACTTAGATAATGTGGATTTAACTTTATTTTGTTCTAAGCTATTGTATAATATCGACATGCTTAGCATATCAATCATAATACAAAATATATTATATTAATTCATTTTTATTAATAAAAACAATCAATATTATTCTTATTTTATTATTTTTATTATTTTAAAATATAACCTATAGAAGATTTCATATTTACACCAGTTTATAATGCACATATATATCTTTTTAATATATATTATTAATCCTAAAAAATATTCATTTAAATTTTGTATTTTATATTCTATAATTAAATCTGAAATCTTTCAAGTGATAAAATGCAAGTTTTGTAGTTTTTTTTAAATCTTATGAATGGCAACAGATTTTATTCTATTATAAGTGCTAAAACACTACATTCTTTGTAATTTATAATAACTTAAATTATTATGAATTGATTTGACCATAGACAATACATGCTTCAATATTTTGAATACTATGCAAGCTTTATTGCACAAAAATCTCTGAAAAACCTAATATTCTTATAATATAAAAAATTTGAATTTCAAATCACGTTTTGATTTGAAAAGTACATTTAAGAACCTTCTATCACTTGAAAGATTTCAGATTTAATTATAGAATATAAAATACTTTTAATGCACTTCAATTGTATAGTCACAATATTTTTAGTCAAAAATGTTATATAACCATATATTTACATTTTTTATTATTTTTAAAATACCATTTTACTCATCTATTAAATATGTATATATATATATATATAAATATATATGAAATATAATTTCATCAATAAAATTTCACATATTTTTTTTTTCAAAAAAACTTTGTCCTTAAAGTGTGACCCAGCCATTTGAACAACTATGTAAAATCTGAAATTTTAATAAATAAAACAAATGCCAATATCTTTATATACACCTCAATCAAATAAATATACGCATACATACATACATACATACATACATACATATATACACACACACACTAAAAGAGTTTCAAAGCTTTCATTTAAAATCCGTCTCTCTTATATTCCTCCTCCTAATCCATGAACATGCACACTCATCATCACATTCCAACCCTTGGATGAAGCCAACTGAGGCAGCGTTTACAATTAACGAGGCAACCCTAATCAGCAGCAGCAGCCCACTTCCTTGCATAATAAATCCGTGCTAATCCGCACTAATCACGTCCCTGTAACCACGGGGCCCCAATCCCGTGGCGGAGAGAAGCCCCACAGAGCATTCACACACACATACTAACTAGTTACTACTCCCTCCTCAGCACCAACACACACAAAGCCTACACACACACACACAGAGCGAGAGATATAGAGAAGGAAGGAAGCCAGGAGGTTCCTCCTCGGATGGATATGGCTTCGGCTATGGCGTCGTCCCGCTCGGTGCTCGCCCTTGCTCGCTCCACTCCCTCTCCTTCTGCTTCTGCCTCTTCTACTTCTGGTGTTGCTGTTGCTGCTGCTGCGCCATCTTTGCGCGCTGTGCGCTTCTCTTCTGCCGCGGCTTTTGGAAGCGGGACCTCGTGGACAATTAAAAGGCCAGTGTTGAGGGGAGCGACGATGCACAGGGTGCGGGATGTTGTCTCCTGCTCGCTGAAGAAGCTGGCAGAAGTGGAGCTCACGGATCTCACCAACAATCCCTCTCCGTCGTTCCCCGCGGCCCCGGGAATTTACGCGGTTTATGATAAGGCGGGTGATTTGCAGTACATTGGGTTGTCGCGTCGGGTGTCGGCCAGCTTACAGTCGCACATGAGGGAGCTTCCGGAGCTATGTGCATCCGCGAAGGTAAATAAGTAGTGCTGCAGTTTGTGTGGTTTTCAGGGTTGTACTTGTTGTGAGGATGTGCCTCAGGGAGCAATGACATTCTTGTTCTCATTCTTCTACTTTGCCATTTTCGGAATGTCACTCTGGCTTGAAGGAGTAGTATATTCAGCTACTGCTTGGGTACAGCCCTCATAGGCTTGCAGGGTACCGTAATAGTGTGCTTTGTTGAATTGGGCTTGTCTATACACTTGAGGATTGTGCGTAGGTGTTTGTTGTTGCCGCATTTCATTTTGCTACTTTACACTTTAGAATTCCCGAGTTCTGTCTCAAGATAGTCAATTGATTTGAGAAGGTTTCCTTTATAATTGTCTTCGTGAGACTCTTGGTCGAGTGTTCACTCTCCCTTCATTAAAGCGTGGTTATTTTTTATCATCTTTGGATAGGGTTAAAATTTAGCACCTGAAAATTACAGATACAGTGTTCGAGCGCAATTGAGTGAACCATATTTTCGTTTACTCTTTAGCATTCAGGGCACTTCACGATGGTGTGGCTTGCTTGAATACGATATTTTCTTCAATAGTGTGAGAGGTGTACGAGGAGTAGTTTGTGTAGAATTTTATCCGCATCTGTGTCTTCCACTTGAGTATCGTCGCAGACAAGGCTAAGCAACGATTCACAACTATGTGGTGACGTTGTGGAATGGGCATCCGGAGGATTTAAGTAGTTCACTTTCACGAAAAAAATCCTCGTTGCCCTGACCGTGCTTCTTGTCCTTGTTGCTCAACCTAAATGTACTTGGTTGTATATACTTACGGACTGTCGTATGATAAATTGGAAGTCATGCGCTTAACTATGTGGTGCAGTTTGCAGTAGTTGATGCGCCTGAGCGAGCAGCTCTTACGGATGCATGGAAGAGTTGGATGGAGGAGCACATTAACCAGGGAGGGAATGTTCCGCCTGGAAATGTGTCCGGCAACACAACTTGGACTGCCAGGAAAGCAAGGGCAGCCAAGCCTGAAATTAAACTGACACCTGGGGCTCATGTAAAGCTCAATGTACCAATTGAGACCTTGATAGACAAAGTAGTGAAGGATTTGAAAGTTGTGGCCTTCATCAAGGGCACTCGCACCTCCCCACAGTGTGGATTCTCGCACAGAGTGTTGACGATTCTCAATGAGCAAGGCGTAGACTACGAGGTCCTGAACGTTTTGGATGAAGATCACAATCCTGGTCTGAGGGAAGTTATTAAGAAATACAGTCAATGGCCAACAATACCTCAGGTGAGTTTGTGCCTGCGTTAAATTTTAACTCTGCAAGTCGTTATTTGTTGATGAACGAGGTACCTGAGAAATCACGTCGCCGAAGGAGGGTTGGAACTGGTGGTGTGATCATCGCGTGCCAGGTGACGTCGTTGGGATCCAACACTTCCGTCTTTGATCATTTCTTCTGTTGTGAATTTTATGCTGCAGCTGTATGTGAAGGGAGAGTTTGTGGGTGGAGCCGATGTGTTGGACGAGATGGTGCAGAGCGGGGAGATTAAAGATTTGTTTAAAAACTAAAAGTAGGCCATCTGGCCATATTACGAAGCCTAGAGTAGAAAATCCAATGAGACGGAGAAAAAAAAGGTACTCCATTTTGCTGTTTGATTGCTCACAACACGATGAACTGTAGGAAAGGATTGTAACAGCACATTTGAGTTTCCTAAGCATCCAGCTCCGAATAGGTAACAAGGCACTTTCTGCACTAAAACTTGTGATAATTTGTCTTAACAAGTTTCTCTTCCTCGCATGAAATTCCATTAGTTGCTTTCAGTTACTCTGTGCGTCGCTACACTGGTGGCACCTGAGGCCATCAGCAACTTTTGTGGGAGAACACTGTATCATTTAGCAAATCCTTAGTTCAGAGCTACAAAACAAACATTTATGCATACAATTTGAATTGGTGGACATCGAAAAGTAATCACGTGTCTTCAGTATTTTGGAATATGTGGTTACTTCTTCGTTCCAAATTGTCATCGAAAGGGCTTTATTCGAATTGAATTGGCAATTACATGCCAACATAATTTATTAGCTATACAAGATTAAATCATCTTAGAGGCAAAACAATGGTTAGAAAGAATCAATCTTTAGGGATGCATACGTGAAATTAATATTCTTTCAAATGAGAAGTTTGGACATGTCCAAATTTTTACAATGTGTTCGATAAATTTATTGGCACAAGGGTAATGAAAATTGGACTAAGATAGATAGTTTAAAGAGAATTTAAGTATAAGAATAATTTAACTAATAACTAAACTTTTAAAAGAATATGACATAGAATAATTAATAATTACCACCACTTCACTATTGAATTTTGAACTTCAAATTAACTAGTTATAGAATATACCTTTGGTCATATAAGGAGTCCTTTCAACTCATATTTTAGAGCCAATAAGTTACAATAAAAATAAAAATGAAAACATATATATATATATATATATATATATACATATATAAGAATATTAAATGGATATATGCTTTTACTAAATAAACTCATTTTTAATGAAGAATATGGTTATCATGAGGAATGTGGTTGATTTTTATTTGTTTCAGATCTAATAGTGGAGAAATAAATCTAGAAGTATTTTTTATTTTATTTTATTTTATTATGATGCTTAAGATGAGTAGATCAATTTTGTAAAAACTTAGGTCTATTTAATATTTTCCTATATATATTAAATAATATTGTATTCTTTACTTGTAACCCATATACTACTCCTATGATTAAAAGTAGTACGTGAACAATAAGTAGAAAAAAAAATCCTATGTGAACAATAATTTATTAGAAAATTTCATTCTTAAATTTAGTCTAAGAATTTATCTTCCATAAACAACAATGTAAATTTTAATGCTATATAGATTAAAAAATTTATTAGTACTTATTATTTTAATTGATTCTTTTTATAGAAAAATATCATATATATCCCTCAAATATGTTGAAATATCAAAAAGACCCCTACATTCTTTATAATAGCAAATGTATCCTTCAAAGTTTTGATAATAGCAAAAATATCCTTGAGTACAATAAAGTATCTCCAATCTAACAAAAGTCCTTGGATTCCATTATTTTTTTTTGTTTTGAATGTAGTACAAATCTTGTGCCTTTATAATATGTCTTGAATTTTTTAATATGTATCAATTAGATATGTAGCCTATAACTCCCTTGTTATTCATCTTTTGTCTCCATAATGCTTGCATTAATTGCACAAAATAAGATTATGATATTTTCTTAGAATTCTATGGCAGCACAAATGCGGCCAAATAATTCTTGAGCCACAACAACTTGCATGTCTAATTGATGCAAAAAGTAGACATACAAATATGACTAAGAACTTAATATGATAAAGAACTTAGCAAAGTCCTAACAAAAAACTGTCAGACTATATATGACTTGTTAACCACATATTAGATATATAAGTAGATTGCATTGTTGTGCGGTAACATGATTATATGGTAAAAAATTAAAAAATTGATGTTATTATAGAAGGACCTAATAGAAAGATATAGTAGAAAAATAATAATAAATTATAGAAAGGTAATAAAATATTTAGTCTTAATATTGTCTTTTGAAGAAGAGACTTCTATTTATTTTATAGAGGCATAAATGAGCCAAATCAAAGTAAATAAGATAAAAAATTAATATAGACATATTAAAAAGAGAATCAACAATAGATTAAAGCAAAATTTACTTCAATTAACTAAAAATTGATATCCAAAGAAGACCAATTGTCAACTTGAATCAAAATTAGATCCTAAGGCACAAAACCATGAATTTATGGTGACTCCAAGGTTCTTTTATAAATCAAAGACTAGGATTTGAGAGAAGACTTTATAAGATTTCTTTGAGCCTTGATTTTGAACAATTTGAGTTTGTAATGACTTTGTAGGAGCTTTGAAAAGTGATGAAAAGTGATTATTTTTGATGAATGTGGTTTTATAAAATTAAAAAAAAATATATATATATATATATATATATATATATATATATATATATATATATATATATATATATATATATATATTTGAAAGAAATTTGTAAGTTTGGTATTAGTTCTATGGGTAATTTTTTTATTTTTATTTTTGAGTATGATTGTTCTTATTGCATGTTATAAATTTGAATATGATTGAATGGTAAGATTCAATGATATTGAAGTTCAAATAGGTTGGAGTCTCAGAAATAAAGTTTTAAAGGTTAGTGAAGATTTCTAAAAGCTTTAGCGATTTCCTTGTTGAATTGAGGTGAAATTTATGTGTATAGGTAGTAGACTTGATTTCCAAAATATATATGAAATTTGAGAGGTATTTAATGGTAGAATTAAGAAATTTTGGCTCAGAGATATTGGCATCAAGATTGGTGAAGGAGGCCAATCAATACCTGAGTGGATTTTAGAATTTATCATCTAATTAGTATGTATGATCTTTTTCAAAAATTTTATGCTTGTTATTAACTTAGTTGTTATAAGGTATGCAAAGTTTGAATCAAAATCAAGAATTGAATCATTTATTATTGAATTTTTAATCTATTATAAGATTGTTAAGATTTTTGTTTAAGATTTAGGATTTAATTAAGGATTGATTAGAATTGGTTTAAGATTTAATATTTTTTTAGGATATGATTGGAATTTAGGATTGTTTTTGGATTTAATTAGGATTTGATTAAGATTTGATTAAGATTTGATTAAAAATTGATTAGCATTTATTTAAAAAATATCTAGGATCTCATTAAGGTTCATTAGGATTGGTCTAGGATTTAAGATTTTATTAAAATTTCTTTAGGGTTGATTTAAGGTTTAGGATTTTATTAGGATTTGATCTAGGATTTGATTAAGTTCCATTAGATTTTCAATTAAGGTTTGACCTAAGATTTGATTAAGGTTCATTTGAATTTTAATTAGAATTAAATTAAAATTTGGTTAAAATTTATTTAGAATTTATGAAACTTTTAATTTTTTTAGGATTTATTATTATTATTTTTAAAAAATAATAAATTTTTTTAAAATAATTTTTTTTATTTCTTTAAAGATTTATTTTTATATTTTTTTAAGATTTCTTATTATTTTTCTTTGAAATTAATTTAAGACTTCTTTATATTTCTTTTGTAACTTCTTTTAAATTTATTTTGAATTAGTTAAAGTTAAATTAAGATTATCAAGATTTGTTTAAAGTTTATTTAAGATTCTATTAGATTTGGTAGGATTGTTGTTGAATTTTTATTTATCTTTCATAACTAGGTGCCTAGTGCATTCTCAAGCAAGAACACACGTAATACAACATAAGTAGTGAATCCAACTTAAAAGCTTAAGGTGGAAGGGATTGGAGGTTGCTTATTTTTATTTTTATTTAATGAAGAACGAGAGTAAGAGTTTTGAAAGATCCATAGAAGGAGTTTTAAGTAGAGCTTCTAGTGGAGTTTCTACTAAAGGACAAGGTATGTACATGGATCCAACCATTACAAGTATGTTTTAAGCTTGTACATTGTTTATGCAACAAGAAAGCAATGATTGTAAGAAAGTTTTGATAATCAAAATATTGCAAGCAATGGATAATAAAGTTGATTAATTTGATGAAAGAAACATTTCAAAGTATTTAAGATGTTAAGTATAGAAAATGGAATTAAATTGGATTTTTGAAAAAAAAATGATTGAGCCATTTGGACTTGCCCAAGTATCAAAGATATGGGAACATGTTAAATCAATTATAATGCATTATGGGAGTTTATAGAAGATATTTTTATATATATTAAAAGATAAATATTTTTTGGAGGACACTAATCATATTACTAAAAAATTATTTTTAGAATGGATTGAATGGTCTAATAAGAATTTATAAGCAACAAAGCTATTAAGGGAGTTTAATAGACAATATTTTCAATTATCAAAGGTAAAGAAGTTAACATTGGAGCCAAATAAGATTGAATGATTTTTTCAAGTAGCCAATAGAGAATTATAATAAAAATTAGAATTGCTTAAAGACAAAGAAGATGAAGGATTGACAATAAAGTTAAAAAAATATTATAGATGTTGTGGGTATGCTTGCAAAATGAGAGAAAATGAAGGATAGGATTAATATTCTAAGAATAATACAAGCATCTAAAACTCATGTACATACAACACGATAAAAAATGCCTATTATTCAATCTCTAGTATCTACATCAAAAAAAGAAGATATGGAAGTTGAAGAAATTATATATGGTATGTAGGATCTTCAAATGAAATTTACAAGACTTAAAAAAAGACTTCTATAAATAATTTGGAGGCTATTTTTAAATAAAGGTATATACAAAGATACATTTGATGTGATGATGTTTTTAATACTATAAAAGATTGCAATGAATTTAATAATGTAATGAAACAAAGATTGATTTTTTAGAAAGATGAAAATGTAATATTAAAGAATAAAAGGGACCTACTTCAAATCAATTTTAGTAAGGAATGTATGAGAGCATTGATTCAAGCCTATTTAGTAATATATGGAGTAGCAACATGAGAAAGTATAAGTTATGGTATTAGAATAGATGGCCTTAATGGAAATATAGAGACAAGTGGATTCTGAACTTTCGCTATTTCTATAATGTAAAAAAAAAAAAAAAAAAAAAAAAAAAAAACCTCGAAAGACATTATTAAGAATTGGTACAAGAATACGTGGTGCAATAAGTTGAAAAGATCTTATAGAGGTACTTTCAATTCATGCATATATTACTAAGAGTCAACATAAAGCTTTGATGGAAGAAAAGAAACAAAGAAATTTTGATGATATAAGAAAAGAAAATTCTTCTGA